CCGCCTTTTTCTTTTTCCTTTTCTTTTTTTCAGCTTGAGATTGGGTATTGTCATATTCACCACCAGCCAGACTAGACACAGTGGGTATAACTTTGTAGCCTGAACAAAGTCCTTGAATGTCATCCAAGGTACACTGGAGTAACTGGAAGAGCCATGCAGGTTGATTAATGGTGCTAGCAGCCTGACAACAGCCCAGCATCATCCTGAAATAGCACTCAAAGGCCTGTGCCCTGGGCATGTCAAATAGCCCTTACTGCTTTTCTTTAGGCAAGTGAATCAAGCACTCTATTTGGAGTTGAATCCCACCCCTCCTGATGTCCTTAGGTTAAGGCAAATCCTGCCCTGTAGCAAACAAGTGGCTTTTGCAGTCCCTATGACCTGTCCAAAATGAAAAAATTCCCTCAAATCTACCTGTGGGATTAGTTGCAAAGCCAACAGCCTTGAAACTGCCATCGACACTTCTGAGTAGCTGGCTCCAGTGACTGCCTTAATTCTTGGGACGTAGTCTGAGTAGTTACACTTGAACTCTACAACATCCTCAGAAGAATTGAATTTAGACAGAAACCTCAGAGCAGATGCCATGGCTTTTGTAACTTCTGCACATGTGTCATAGATTTCGTAGCCCAGAGTAACTCCAGATAACAGCGTTGAATTGTTGATCATTTCAATAGCGTGTATCATTGCAAGTGTCTGAAGAAAAATTTGAATTTCAAAGCTGTCAGGAAACACAGAAGTTTTATTTTAGTAAAACATTGCTGGGAGCAGGCCAAAGAAAAGTCCAGTTTAGGCGTATTCCTTAGAACTTGACAACTACTGAAAAGAAATGATGGATAGTATGCTTTGTGTCACTTTCTTGGGTTTTAGTGTACAGAACATTAGAAATCATACATTTTTGTCTCACCTAAGTGAGAGATTAAGCAAAATAAACACAACATTTAAAATATACCTGAATAAAAATTATTTTCTGGAAAAACAGGTACTAAACCAACAATTTTCATGGTACATGAAAAATTGCAAGTGGTATCTTCATGAAACATCTGTCAAAGTAAGTGGAGCTGTTCCAGTTTACTCCATCTGCTTGATAAACTTTTTGGAAATGTATTTACTTTCACCAAAAGCATGAAACAAAGGAAAAAAAAAAAAAAAAAAAAAAAAAGGACTAAATACTTCAGAACAGGAAAAAATATTTCAGAGGTTGAGGTCTCCTAGCGGTTGCATCAACATTCCTAAAATCCTCTCTAAACCTGATGAAGTCAGTACAGCTATTCCCTTATCTCCAGTGGATATTATAACAGACACTTTATCAGAACTGTGCTAGCACAAAATGTCTGCAATACAACCAACCCTCCTCTCAGTCAAGCTTCTCGAATGTTTACAGATCTTGCAAACTAAATTAGATTTCAAATAGACCTGAGACAATTTATGTAGAAAAACAATGGAACACTGACACAATAATCAACTTTATAATAATTTTGAAATAAATCCAGAGAGATATCTGCTGCTTATTAGAGTCAGATGTGGGATTAAGTTGTGTGTAAAATTAAAATAAGATTTGATTATTTGGACCTGTGTTAAAATTAAAGGAAATGCATATTTGGAATTCCTGTTCTTAGGAAATCATTTGTATATTGTTAAAAGAAAGTTCTTCACCAGGTTTCTTGTGCATTCTTTTAGAAGAAATTGATGTTTTGATCACAGATAGGATTTGGAGCCAACAAAATAAATATTCTGATACACAGTTTGAACTTGAATGTATACATTACATGTTGTCTATACAGTCCATCCTATAACATAATGCCACGATCACAATACAAAGTGTAATAACCACAGTAATTGTAGTAATAGTTACAAACTAATTAGCAAGGTACTACCATACATTACAGCTGATCTGCCCTGTGAGTTGGGGAACATGCTTTAATACATGCTAAAGTAAAATGGAACAGTCTGCCTGTGTTCAAATCCTGTATGTACAACTTCATAACAAATAATGAACAACTGCACAGCAGAGTGCTTCAGGCATATAGCAACAAATTAGCACTTACATGGAAATTAAATGATTGTTCAGCACAAACCTGCAGGGCTATTTGATTATATATGCAGATTGAAATAGGATCAAATGCTCCTTCCCTTCCTCAGGCAGCCACACTAACTTTTGCTGTAACTTTGCCACACTTTATCATCTTGTATTAATTTACTCAGAATTTAGGTTATGTCCAAGGTCTTTCTAAAGACTAAGAAATGCAAGAGAACCAGATTTTGTTTATCTTAATATAAGAGGTATATTCCTGATGTCAGTGATCTCTTTGCTATATAAGTAATTTCCAGTATTACTCACCCAGCACAATTCTGAATTACTGGCTTGATGGGAAGTTCTTCTGGATGCAGCATTTCGCTATGAACTGCAAACAAGCCTCCAATAACAATGTCCCCCGGAGAACTGGCATCCACAAAGTCATCAGTATTCTGGCAAGAGAAAGCGATGTCAGTGCCAATCACAAAGCAGGGGATCAAAAAGGTAACGAATGCCATGTTTCTGTTTCACTTGCTCACTACCAGCTTTAAGTCGATTAAGTGAATTGCAGGGCCAGCAAGGGCTCCTATGTCATTTATAAACAGCAGCAAAGGAAAAAGGCTGCACTCAAAAGTTAGTCACACCTCATAAGGTGCTTGTATTTGCTTCACTGGCTGAGACTATTTTATTGAAGGTACTAAAACAACACTGTCACATTAAATATGAAGGTGCAGGGGTATGAGAGTGAGGAGGGAGAGAGAAGCATGGATGAGTGTGAAAGGAAATGTTGAACATAAAATCTGTCCTTCTCTGTACAAAGTTTTTTATACCTTATCTGAAACACATGGCAAATATTTTGGTATAAATTTGGGCTTGTCTTGAATGCCTTCCAAGTGAGTGCAGGGTGAGAACAAGCAGTCATGTAATATGGTAGTGATATTGCTGGGACCATATTTTAAGAGTCCAGTCCAAAGACTACTGAAAAAAGACCTCCCTGCCACAGTATGCTTTAGATCAGATTCTGGTCTAAAAGAAAACAACCCAAAACTATAAAAAGACTGCTTTTCTTATAAGTTTTAAAATCTTTATATATAAATGGTTTGGATAAGCTAATATTCATGGCTCTAATGCACACACAGCTCCTAGGGACTTCAATGGGTTTTTGGGTCAGAGCCTACCTGAAGTACTCTGTTCATCTCCTGGGGCCCCCAACATAAGAAGGACATGGAACTGCTTGAGCAGGTCCAGAGGAGGCTACGAAGATGATCAGGGGACTGGAGCACCTCCCTCATGAGGACAGGCTGAGAGAGTTGGGGCTGTTCGGCCTAAAGAAGAGAAGGCTCCAGAAGCAGCCTTCCAGTACTTAGAGGGGGCCCACAGGAAAGGTGGGGAGGGACTCTTTATCAGGGAGTGTAGAGATAAAGCTAGTGGTAACAGCATTACAATGAAAGAGGGTAGATTTAGATGAGATATGAGGAAGAAATTCTTCCCTGTGAGGGTGGTGAGGCACTGGCACAGGTTGCCCAGAGAAGTTGTGGCTGCCCCCTCCCTGGCAGTGTTCCAGGCCAGGTTGGATGGGGCTTTGAGCAGCCTGGGCTAGTGGAAGGTGTCTCTGCCATGGGACAAAAAAACCTAGACGACACAAACTATTCTATGATTCTATGATCAGGTTCTGTATTTACAAGCCATGCCATGTCTGCTGCTGGCTAATCTGATAAGAACAGAGCAGTGGGAAAATATAGTACTAGTCCTAGTTTTCTGACAAGAGGGAAGAACGTTCTCAGATGGAGGATACCAACATGGACTGGAAATTAGTTGTTCTTGGTGCCACCATTCCCCTCAGATTCACAAGATTTGAATTCTGTGCCAGAAGGGAACTGGAGGAAAGAGAAGTAGAGGTCCGACTCTGAGCTTTCATAAACTCCAACCATAAAACAAAAGTGAACCTCTTTAGGACAGAAGCATGCTACTAAAACATACCAATTTACATAGAAGACACAAATTTGACAATAATCCCTTTCTGTTCTTGACATTGGCTCATTTCTCTATTTTTCTCATAATGACTTCTTCAGATTTTGTTTCTTTTGGTAGCATGCCAAAGCACTCAAAAGAATGGGGTCAGCTATCATGCTTATTTTCCATGATTGTATTATAAAAAAATCTACATTTTATATAGAAAATTTGAATCAGTGATTGTTTTCTGGCAAACAAAAGAGAGAAATGGGATCTCTGTTACATATTCTTTCTGATAAGCATAATGCATACTATATAAATTATTTAAATTATTATATTTTGCTCTTGTTTCCACACTAGTCTCTTTGCAGTTAGAAAATCTGTTTACAACAAGAAATACTCCTTGCAAATGCATATGTTAATCCCTAGTTAAATTACCATTCAGCCTCTTTGTTATAACATCTTGTGTTTCTTTCATCTGCCTTCTTTCTTTCCACATGGCATTCTCACTGTTGGGTCAGGGCATATAGAAAACATCTTCCTGCATTTTCTTTCATGTAGCTGATCACATACATTTATGGGCAGTTGATGATACCAGTTTATTCTGCTTCTGCACTGACTTGCAAAAATTCCAGTTATTCCAAAAGTTTTCGTCTTGACTTACAGCAGCATAATTGTAGTCAGACTCTGGCCCTGAGTTACGAGACATTTGTTTGCAAATATTCATGTACTCATTCCTTACCATCCATGTAATGCACCCTAAAGCCTGGTTCCACATACTCTGGTGTTTCCTTTACCCTGATTTTGCATATAACTTCATATATAAAACTTCTGTATACTTAGATGTAGTTAAAGCATAAGATTAAAGCTAGTCATTTCCTTAAGCAAGCACAAGAAATATTCAGCCATATGCCTTTAATATAAAATGTAATTTTTAAGGACCTAACACTATTGCATTAAGGATTCAATGGAAATACAGCACTGATAGTTTGAAACTTCAAATTTGTTACAATTTCTGATTAGAAGCAGAAAAAAAAACTTTGGCCAGTCACTAAAAAGTTATTAATTTCTATAGAAGAGAATCTTACCTACAAACAAAAGTCCTTACTTGGTCACTTTAGAAAGTGGAAGTTGACAAAATAAACATCACATAACTGGTGCATAATTTCATGTTATTTATAAAAGAACCACAAAATGAAGTGTGCTTCAAATTCAACTACATTGAGCTTACGTTACAGTGTAGAGTATTTTCACAGGGAAGGGCTTTTATTGTTATTGTTTATTTTCAGGATCTATCTCTCATAATTACTGCTAGTGATGAGAAGTACTTAGAAGTGTTACTGAGATAGCTCGGCCTAACCTAGTACTGCAGAATTAACTGGCAGTTTTTGCAAAAACTCTTCTTCATTGACACTTAAATACCAATAGAAATAAGTGTATGTTATAAAACGTTCTTTGCTTATAATTTAGTGACATATTATTGTAGTATCGCTAGACTTTCAGAATTGTCTGCATAAGAGTATGTCTTGGGAGGCAGAATCAAGCGTAAGATTCAGTGGAATTCTTGAAGTACCATCATCTCTAGAAAGCAGCTCTTAATGGACTGTGCAAGGGCAGAAAAGAGGACCTATCAACCCAGAGATACTCTGAGAGGCACAGATGAATTCTAAGAGTCTTTGGAGGATCTGGTGAGAGACAAAGATACGCTGTTAGTATCTCTGTATGCACCAAAATTACCTGCCAAAATGACTACTTCTTCCACATGGGCTTCAGCCTCCCTTTGAGAAGTACCAGAATAAGTGGGTTTTGGAAGATGGTGACTTCTTGCAAATTCACAGTTAGTAAATTTTTGGCAACAGTGCCATGCCTATTGAAAGCATCCTCAATCCAAAATGTGCAAGAGAAGCCAGATGAACTTGAGTATGAGATCAACTGAGTCCACCCTCAGACCAATGGAAACCTGTAAATAGACCACCTGCCTCTCCTGTCTTTGCAGCCTCTAGACCTGGACAGGTTATGGCTTTTGTGCAGAAGGAAGCTTTGCAAATGTCAGTAGCTTGGTCAAGCAAAGAGAGACTATACTGTGCAGGAAACAAACACCAAGGTTTTGGCTGAACTTTGTCCTAGCTGTGGTTTTTCATGGAGAAGTTAATGGGCTAGATTCCAAAAAGAATATCCAGTGAAATACTTTTAAAGGAGAAAGACATTTTTCATCACTTTCTATTTTAAACTGCTTTTAATTGTGCTGTTTCCAAACCAACATGCAGCAGAGAGTGAAATCCTCTGCTAGGCATACACGAAAGTTAAGGAAAGAAAGAAGAAATTTGGATAGCCTCACTGTTACTCAAAAAAGTGGGATAACCCCCCCTCACTCAGACAGGACCTATCCAGGCACAAAGGAGATTACACTGTTTGGAGAACCCAGCAGCATTCAAATAAAATCCTGTCATTTGCAGGAAAGGTGGTGCTTGTGTAAATTAAGAGTGACCATCCCTTTTTGGATTGTTCCTGGAGAAGACATGAGGCACACAGAAAGGAAGATGAGGCAGAATTTTGAACTGAGTGGTTTGTTCCCACTTCTACCACAGATTTCTTGTGCCTGATCTGCAGATTTCTGCCATGAGTTCCAAAGCTGTTCCCACTTCTACCACAGATTTCTTGTGCCTGATCTGCAGATTTCTGCCATGAGTTCCAAAGCCTAGTCAGTCATTCACAGCCAGGTATTCTGGAAGTCTCCATCTCCCAAATTAACAAGTGTCAAAATGCCTCCAAACTCTAGACTGAACCATTTTCTGATTCATATCATATCTGTGAAACAGAGAACATTATTGTGTTTCCATTCAGATCATAAACTCTTTAGAATAACCACTGTCCTTCGCTTATGGTGATTCCCCCAGTTTATATAGGGTATTTTTACACAAGTAATAAATAACATAACTAGGCAATAGAAAACAAGCTAAACTAAGACAAGTCCAAATATAAATCAGTGCTGCAATAAAGGAATGTACCTTGTATGAGACGTCTATTAAAAAAAGTATTACTTTTCACATAACTCTAATTGAGCCTGGCAATATTGTAAAAGCTGTGGTTGCAGAAGACTTAAGCCACCAGGGACCTGTTCAGTAGAAATGCCTGTGTCTGCTGATATCTCCCTTCTACTCAAGAGCCGATATAGTATCCCATTGCCTTGGCCAGCAGGCCATCTCTTGGTTTGCCTTTGTTTTGGAGCAGTAAGCAGTGGGCTTGGAAGGCTCCCAGATATCCCAGCTGCTCCTCATGGTCTTACTGAAGTCCATGGAAGCTGAAGTGCCTCACAACCAAGGCTGGCTAATTGAAAGATAATCTACTGAAAAGAAAACCAGAGAATCAAAGCATGAAGCTAAGTATATATTGACTATGAACAGAATTTGAGAACACTCCAAAAACCAGAAATACCAAGGAAAACATGTGTGGAACTGCTCTTTAAAATCACCACTAAAAACCCCTGTGCAATTGGAAGCAACCATTGCTTCAGCAGGGAATGCTTACTTACAAATGAGTATGCTAACACCTTCCAGGCCAGGAA